TGGATTTCATAAAAAACTTTTTTTTTATGAAAAATAATTACAGAGTGATCCCCAAATTGATAAATATTTATCAAAGAACACCAATTAGTAGTTTTTAACATGTTTACATATACTTTGTGTATGTCACCATGTATTATATAATACTCTGTGTAGTTTAGAACACATTTCTATACTTAGGATGTTTTGCAACCTATTAGTCAATACTTCGTGTAGTTAACGAATAATATTTCCTTTTTTTTTAAGGATTGAATTAGTGGGCTTAATTATCAGTCAAATTCCAATGTCATATTTTATCAATGCCATGTCATAATAAAAATGGGAGGATAATTCTAGAGATGACATCTAAACTAATCACTTCTATATTAATATATATAAGGGATCATAAGAATCAATGCCTAATTAATATTGATTTTCGCAAGTATTAAAAACAGAAAATTTGGGATTATATATCTATGTAGATAAGTAAAAAATCATTGATTGTCAAATCCGAAATTTGTCAAAATTTATGAGAAACTTCCAAAATTTATGTAATTGTATATAATTTTATTTGGCAAGAAATCAGCTCATCTTATACGTACAATACAATTGTATATATAAATATATATGAAGAATGTGTTTGCATACAAGAATCAGTCCTATAAAAAATGGAGTTCAGGAAAGTTGTGCTTCTTGCCTTATTGTTATACCTTTCATGTGAGTCCATTTTAACTTGAAGTTTAATTTCATAGCATTTTCATAGTGTTCTTTATTCTTTACATGATAATTGATGATGTCCAAGTGCAAGTTTTAAGTGTTTTAAAAAATATATATATATAGTTTGTCTTTCACAACAAAACCAAAGAAGTTGACATTTTTTATGTAAAAAAACACTAAAAGCAAATCAATTCAAATTGAGATGATGATAAAATATCAGTTTTGTTTTCGGAAAAGATAATAGTACTGGGTTTAGTTGAAATGCCAATTTCTTATTATTCGTACATTCGTAATTATTAAAATACTGTTCTGTGTCTATATATCTAGGTGCATTGAAAGGAGAAGCAAGAATTAGTAGAGGATTAATGAAAGATGTAACGACACAACGTGGAGGGTCTTGCAACAACGACAATGTTTGTCATAATCATTGTCCGGGGTGTGCTATTACACAATGTATTTTCAACCAATGTGTTTGTACTCGTTGTGATCCTCCACAAACAAATTTACGAGTTAACTCTCATATGTAAACGTAGTTCTTCTTATAGTTATCCAAATTTGTGACGACAAGATAATAATAAACAATTTTTCGTAAGAGTTTTTTTCATATGTAAAATTCAACGTGACTTCTTACATACAATTCCAAAATT